AGGTTCTGTGCAAGTAGCGATAATTACACCAGGAATTTCATAATAATTTAATAATAAAATGTGTATCTTTTTGTTTAATATTTTGGTGTTATCGGGTTGTTGATTTATCGAGTGAAGTTGGATGACTTTAACCCTAACTTCGTATATGCTGACCATACCGCCAAGCCGAGTTATCTGAGAAACATCTGCGAATAATATAATTTTCAGAAGAATGTTCATTCGTTTTGCCGCTGCGAAAGTTTGGTCCGAATTATTGAGCATCTTTTTTTTTTAATCAGCTGTTTAACGATCGCAGGTTCAAATCACTTAATTAGGATCTTACAGCGATAGAACTCTGGACACAAATTGGCTGGTGTGACGTCACACGAGCGCTTACAACGTTACCAATGGTTGTCCTCACTTGGTTTATAGTCACTTTGGTTATGTCCACTACGTGTCCAAAAATTAGAATAAAAGATAAGAAATATTATATCAATCAATCAATCAATCGTTTATTTTGTCATCACAAAAAAACACGTTCAAACATAAAGTGACACAATGAATAAATTACAGTACTAATCATGTTTTTGCGTGACCGGAGTCGCGAGGGACCTAAGAAGGTCTTCAAGCAGCGACACCTACAGCGCTACAGGTTAGAATAAATATAATTAAATGAGGGATAAAATGAATAAATCCTAGGAATAAGTCACAACTGATACAATTACAGCGACATTCGAATGTATGCGATTATGACACAGTAAAACAGAAAATGTAACTTTCACGGAATAATTACTAACAACTAATAAAAACGCGAGGAAAGCAAGATAAAAGCACAGAAAAAATATAGGAAGGCAAGTTTGGCGGAATATGCAACTAAAAGCAATATAAGGCAAACAGTAAATCGAAAATATTTACAGCAAATGCAATTTAGGAGACACTTACGAAAAATTGATAGAGTCTAATGAGGAATACAAACAAACTATTACATCTATATAATGTACATAATAAAGAGAAAAAGATAAAACGGCCTGGTCATTGAAAATAATAGCGAACGTAGGTTAAGGGCAGTAAGCTATCGCTTAGAAATAACAAAAATTGTTTGCCACACCATTTTGATAATTGTGTAAAAATTCCCAAAGAAGAGTGAGACACTGAAGAGAGTGGACCAGCATCGACGCTCGGGGAAAGGTCCATCCATTCTCGTCAATTACGGTACTGAGGACAAAACCGTTGAACCAGGAGAGCGACGAGTGGACAGGTTTTAGTTAGCAGTCGCTACGTGTGTACGTGTACGTGTGTACGTCTGTACGTGTACGTTGAGTGTGGAGCTGTTTGTTAAGAATTTCCTAATTGGTTGTTTGATTAAGAAAGACAGATGAGAAAGAAAAAACGATTCAGACATACAAAATAATATGGAAGATGGCGAAAAAGATGCCGAAGTAAATGCTGAAAGCAGAGGGACAGAAATGAGACTGAATCTTGTATCAAAAAACACAATCGTTGTTAAATTTGAAAAAAATAATTGGGTGCATAGAAAAGATGTGGTTAACTTTATTGGTCAAAAAATTGGAAAAACTAATATAGCAAGTGTCTATGAAGAGGGAGAAAAAATCTGGATTGTGACATTACACAAAGAAAATCATGTAACAATTTTATTGAAGGAGGGGATTCCTTACCAATTTCAAAATGAAGATTTTATAACCTATCCAATGTTATATAGGAATGATGTTACTAAAGTTGAGATGAGTAAAACACCTTACCATTTATTGCATGCTGATATCACAGAAATGCTTCAAACATATGGAGAATGTTTAAATATCCAAAACTTCTACGATGAAGATAATATCAGAATATAGCAACTGGCATAAGAGTAATCCAAATTGTACTAAAAAAACATCTACCACGAAGAATCAATATTCCATGGCACATGGGAGGTGGTCAGTTTCAAATGACATATAAATCAAAACCAATCATAGTGGGAAAACATTGCTACATTTGTACAAGTAATCAACATACAGACATATAGCAAACGAATGCCCTAAACGAATTCCATGCGATTTTTGTGGAATGGAAGGTCGGCCACATTTGACAAAAAACTGTCGCAGAAAGACGCAGCAAATGTATGAACAGGAATTAAGAATAGCCAGTGAAGTTGAAAAAGAAAAACAAAAACAGGAAAAAAACATTTCGATTGCTAAAACGAATAATGAAAGTCATGAACCAGATGGGGAAAAAACCCAGCAAATAGTGGAAATCATGGATACACAACAGCAAACTGAAGTTGAAAAAATCCCACAATCACCACTGTCAAAGGAACATAAAGAAGAAAATATGGAACTCGACCAACTAGAAATGGATGCAATC